GGGGTCTCTGCCAGCGCTGCCATGGGGAGCCGTGGGGCCGGCAGTCCTGCCCCATCCCCAACCCAGCATCGTCTCTCCTCCACGCTGCTGTGGGGGATTGTTTTGCTGCAGGAGAGCCCTGGGAGGGGGGTGCAGGGGTGTTCCTCCACACTCGGTGAGGCTGGTTTCACCCGTGGCAGGGGCCGGGCAGGGTGCGAGGGCCGAGCGGGCGGGAGGCAGGTCCACGCCAGCGTGTAACTGGCAGGGGACAGATGAGGGAATCGCTTCCTCCTCTGCCCCAGCTGCAGGTTCACGCTGCCAAACTGCTTCCCAGAGAAGGCAGTTCCGCACGGCACGGCCCCAGGCCGTCCAGCCACCACTTACAGGGCTATTTTTAAACGCTGTCTGTCTGCTCCAAACCTCAGGCTTGCCGAGTGCCAGGCAGAGCTCAGACCCCGCTCAGCACAGGATCTAAATCCCCAGCGCAGCGAGAGCTCTCCTTGCCAGGAGCTGCTGCAGGGCGGTATGGTGCTCTGGGGGCATGAATTCTGCAGATGCCAAGAGCTCTTCCCAAATGGGAACAGCCATCCCTGAAGCCCTCCTGGGTCTGGGGACAGGGCGAGTCGGGAGAACTCCTACCTGCTCTTGTCTGCCTGTGCTTGGGGGTGGCAAAGCGGTCCCACTGAGCAACGATGATGGCGGAGATGCCCAGGACACAGACGATGGAGAGGTAGATGAGCCTTGGCTGTGGGGAGCAGTAGAACGAGTAGTAGAGCCACGGCACAAAGCTCCCCATGATCAGCAGTGCAATTCCTGAATAATCCAACCTGCAGCCAGGGGGCAAGGACAAAGAGTCACAGGTCAGCCCCAGAACCCCCCCGCCCCTCCTTGCGTCCTCTTGGTACCCGCCAGCCCGCCCGCACCCGAGCAGCGTCACCGGCCCCGCGGGCAAAGCCGAGCGTCCCGAGAGGGGAGAGGGGCTGCGCCCTGGTCTCACTGGCAGGACAAAGGGCCTGGGCAGGTACGTGCCGCTGGGGATGGCAGCTGAGCTCGGCAGG